TGTAGGTGAATTGCAGGTGTGTGGAAGATAATTGCAAAAGCTGATGTGTCACAATTGAAAGTGTAAATGGATTGCAGGGATGTGGATGGTCTAAGACACCATGTTTATTGTTTAGTACCACAAAAGATATACGGAGGTATCTGTTTGCTGGAAAAATGCAAAGTGTCACGTGCCCAAAATGCCTACCACATAACCTTGGAATAAAGTTACTAACTAATATACACATCTTCAATTATTATACAACTCTTTTCTATTTTAAACAGAGGGAGTAATAAATTATTCTTCCGTAACAAAATAAGTATTTTCATTTTTATTTTAGTTTGTTTAAAAATAAATATCTATTTTTAAAAATTATATATGTTTTTTTATTATATATTTAATTATAAAATGAAGAAAGCTTCTTTCTTTATTATTAAAAACAAAATTATCATTTATTTAATTAAAATAAAAATAATTATATATTTTTAAAATTATACGTCCATTTTTATTGTAAATATTTATTTGAGGCGACGCAAATATATCCAAACAAACTAACATCAATTATAATTAGACAAGTTAGTGATTTTTTATTTATTTAAATGATTATCTATAGTCGTATGTGGGCCTATTAAGCTCGTGTTTATTCTTTTACGTGATTATAGCATTGATGATTATATATATATATATATATATATATATATATTTATTTTAAGGATTCAAACAAAAACACATTTATTTTATGAGAATACAAGAACATCCTACAACTATAAGCAATTACATGTGATATTATTATTCAATCACATATGTGATACTAAATCAGATATGCAGATGACTTTCGATGCGATCTTGGTTGCAGGCCAAGTCGTCCTTACACCACTAAACCCTCTCACATGTATTATCACATGTGATAAGGGTGTTGTTGATATGATACTATAATTCATAAAAACCATCACATTTGATGCTAAATCATAAACGCAGACAACCTTTAGCGTGTGCTAAGTCGTAGAACATGTCGTCCGTATATCACATTGTCCATTCACGCATATTATCATATGTAATAAGGGTATTCTTGCGTTATTGTAAAATGAAAGTTAAAAATGAAAACTATAATATAATATTGTGGTTAAATAATTGAGGAGAAAATTAAATTAAATAAAATAAAATTAGAAAAAACATGTATAAATGCAAAAACGTGCCATCAAAATAGGGAGTTAGGGACCATAAGTCTTTGATTCCCTTTTGCTTTTTTGTTTCCACGGCACATGCTGAACCTTCCTTGTCAATTTACGACTTTACCCATGTCCCTATCTTTATTCAATTCAAATAAATCCATTGCTTTATTCATCTGTGAATAAAAATTTCTAATCATCTTACGTTAGAGATAAAAACTTTGAACAACTACAACTTCTTTTTCTGTTTTAAAATATTAAACTTAAGAAAAAAAATATTGAATAAAAATCATTAGACTTTTTCATTTTAAATAACTAATTATGTATCTGCACAACATAACAGAATGTGAAATAAAGTTTATTCAATTTCAAAATATCAAATTCTTTTAAGATATCATAAAATCTACTTCATTTATATCTATATCAGATTCAAATATTCATCTATATAAAATGTTTATGTTAGTAGCTGAATGAGCCAATTGAAAGAAATTGGATGCAAGAAACAATTAATTGCACCTGATTGAAACCAAACCCCAGTGTCAAACTTGTTTTCAAGACCGATCAAGATCAACAAAAAAACCTAAATCAAATTTACATCGAACTTTTTGACGAAGGATTTGTAAACAATAAAATTATTTCGTGTTTTTTTAACTTTAAAACATTCATAACCAGCTTCATGTAGTTTTTTTGGTTAAAAAGATGTAGGTAACCAATTTTTTTTATAAAAAAAGTGTAAGAATTTAATTACTTAAAATGAGAAAGTTTAATGGTTTTTTCATTAAAAAATTCATGGACTTGATCATTTAAAATATGAAAGTTCATTGGATGTTTTTAAACTTTTCTGTAGTTTATATCCAAAATCTTTAACGTTGTGTTCTTAAAACCATTTTTATTGAATGAAAAGAAAGTTCTTGTTTACCTTAGATAATAATACTCATAACATCCGATCACACACTTAGAAAAAAGAAAAGCTCTTGTTTACCTTGTTAAACAAGAAACATATCCGATGAACTTCATTCATCGGATATTGTCTCTCCTTGGAATATTCAAACATGTTGTTTTAGGTTTCGGATATAAAGATCATCAGATCCTTTGTATGAATTAAATTGACTTTGAAACTATCATCTGGTCAATGGAAATCCATTTGGTTTCATGGAAAGAGATGTTGTAACTTAATGTTTCAATTGTTGTAATTTATACCAAGTTTTTTTTTTCTATCTGATAAATCGTCTGCATAAAATTTTATGGCTGGAAAATCCAACTGTAGTTTATATTTCGTATATAGAAGAAAATATGATTTTTTTTACTTGTAAAAGTCTTGTTACTATCTTTATTGATCCAAGAGCAAAATGTCTTCAACAAAATTGAAGACTAGTTGAAGTGAGTTCAAAATCGTCATCAAAGTGGATTGTTTTGATCTAGCCAAAAAAAGATCAATACAAGATAAAATCAACTAGTAGTCTGACAAAACTACTATTGGCAACCCGAATCTTGTAGTACAACTGATGTGACAAACATAACTCTTCGCATCACATGGGTGCGATAACAACTATTCATCGCATCGATAGGATGCGATCACTTTAAGTCATCACTTCACACAGATGCGACAACTCCAAGTCATCGCATCATAAGGATGCGATAACAGTTTGATCAAAAACCCAGATTTTACATTCCATTGATTATGCTACCCTTATCCTGGTATACAAATATTTGATATGTCATTTTTATCTCAGTATACACTCCTTCTCATGGAACCTTCATAAAAGGTCATAACTGATGTGACAAACATAACTCTTCACATCACATGGGTGTGATAACAACTATTCATCGCATCAATTGGATGCGATAACTTTAAGGCATCACTTCACACAGATGCAACAACTCCAAGTCATCGCATCATAAGGATGCGATAGCAGTTTGATCAAAAACCCATATTTTACATTCCATTGATTATACTACCCTTATCATGGTATACAAATATTTGATATGTCATTCTTATCTCAGTATACACTCCTTCTCATGGAACCTTCATAAAAGGTTATAACTGATGTGACAAACATAACTCTTCGCATCACATGGGTGTGATAACAACTATTCATCGCATCAATTGGATGCGATAACTTTAATTCATCACTTCACACAGATGCGACAACTCCAAGTCATCGCATTATAAGGATGCGATAACAGTTTGATCAAAAACCCAGATTTTAAATTCCATTGATTATGCCATCTTTATCCTAGTATACAAATCTCTTTGATATGTCATTCTTATCTCAGTATACACTCTTCCTTAATATGTTACCTTTATAACCAAAATACACATTTCCTTGATATGTCACCCTTATTCTAAACACATGATATAAACATATCAAGAACCAATAGTTATGCTAATTATAGCATCCAAAAACAATTTTATAATCACTCCCACATAAAAGAACCAAATGGTTCTAATTTCAACACCAAATAAAGAAAGTTTGTAAAATAAACTCATCTTAATCATAAGAGATGAAGATGAACGACAACAATTTATTGAGGCAATTAATCACAGTATCAACTTCCTTACTCTCCTTTTTTTCACTGCTTCAAATTTCTCAGCTCAAAATAATACCCAAAAAGTTTACCAACTTCTTTTTCACTTTTATTCCTCAATTCCAATCAGATAATAAGATTATCACATGTAATAAGCTTTAAAAATAGTAAGGCCGGGATTGCTTTTTAAAACATTTTAATCACATAAAACAAATAAGCCCATCAACTTACCATCAATATTTGAAAACAACCCTGAGCTTTATAACCGAATACCCGTTTATCAAAGGATGACACATCATTTTGATTAAATGACTAGAATAAAAAAAAATCTATTTCAAATGATTTCTAATGATTTTCACTTTTCATTGCTATTATTTAAAAACACAATTTTTTTTTTACTTTTTGTTATTAAATTACGTACAAATTAAATATTTTAGAGTAAAATATTTCTTAAATGAATATGATATATTATTCTCGAGACAACTATTTTGTGTAAAAAAAATGTAACACTTCTTATTTTATTTTATTTTAAAAAATACATATCTTTTAAAGTTTTTTAAGATGTTAGCAAGATAAATTGTGATCTACAATTTTTTTTAATATTCCTATATTAATGAATAATTATAAAAAAATAATTAATTTAATATATTTATATGTCAAGTAAATTTTTTTAAACAAGTATGAGATATTCTTT